CATAATGTCAAAATAATGTCAAGCTGGAGGACTTCTTACTCTGACTCTTGTAACCCTCATTTTATGAGGGAAGAGGAAGAGTGCTCTTTCTGGACTTCCTGCTGTGTAGACAGTGCCAAAAGAATCTATTTCAACTTAAGCTACGCAATTGACATAGTTCAAGTTGCATCGCTTATTTCACCTTTAGCTCTTCTGTGTAGAAGTACCCTGGCTATCAGTTTACTGTAAAAAATCGACCACATATAAAGGAAAGGATAGAAACATGGTCAAACAAAAAAAGAGAAAATATTTACACAGCAGTGAAAAGCCTGGAGAAGAAAATCTTGAAAAAAACCACTGATTCAAAAACTTAAGAACATAAACTGTAATTAGTGATTCAGATCCCTAATTAATATGTTCATCTTACAAAAGTTCACCTGCCAAATGTTGAATGCTGGACTCTTTTATACATATGGATTTCTGATAGAGAAAAGAGAGAATTGTTATTGCCAACTGCATTTAAGAAGTGACAAATTGACATGAAACTGTTTCTTATCGGGATTATCCATACTTCTTGTTAACACCTATCTTTATCACATATAGTTTAATGTAATGACCTGTGTTACTAGCTTTTAATTCATAGGTGTGATCTCAACACAATAGGGAAAGTAGTAAGATAATGTCTTTAACATTAGAAAAGTAACATTCATATGAATATAAATAGTAATTCTAGATATGATGCAATTTTAATATTTCTGAAATGCTTTCTGTTTTTATTCTAATACTACAGGATTTAAGTTTTTTGCGTATGAAGGGTCTCATCCAGCAGTGCTATGGAACACAAACCAAATGGGAATGTGTATGTGAAAGACGAAGAATCTGTCCCAAAATTTGGTAATTATCAGAACACCACTTTTATCAGCTTATTTCTGGAACAAGTTGGAAAACATTTAATTACTGTATCTATTAAATCCAAAGGTTCTTCCTTCTTATATGTTAATGCAACAAAAACAGAATTTTTATAGTTATAGTCTGGGTTTCTGATATATTCACAAACTGACTTCAATTGGAATTCAGAAGACACATTATGTCTAACTTGAAATAAGAATTTTCACCCTCCTGGTGGAAACTACTATAGTATCAAGTATAAAATTACTATTGTGATATGAAAATGGTATAGTACTCCAGGAGGTGAGAAATATTAAACAGGTTATTTAATGTGGCTAAACATTTAGCATTTGTCATCTCAACCTGCCAGCTGTTTTGGATTTTAATTTGGAAATCAGAGGATGAGTATCATTAACTTTTTTTCTTCAGCTTCTGACCAGGACAACTTTTCACTCTCTCTGGGGCTCTATTCCTTGGGTCCATTCCTGATCCATTAGTATAGTGGTTTTCAAACTATGGGTCGTGGTCCAGTACTGGGTCGTGGAATGTCAGGCACTGGGTCTTGATGCTGCAGGGTGACCAGTGTGAGTGCTAAGACAGGCTTCCTGCCCTTCCTGGTCCTGCAGATTGCATTGTGACTCAGAAGCGGCCAGCAACAGGCCCAGCTCCTAGAGGAGGGGAAGAGGGAAGAGCACATAGGGCTCTGCACACTGCCTCTGCCCTGAACACTAGCTCCTCACTCCCATTGGCTGGGAACCTGCTGCTGGCCACTTCTGGGGCGCAGCATGGTCTGTGGTGCCAGGAGAAGCAGGAAGCCTTCCTTAGCACCCCTGCTGCACCACTGACTGGGAGCTGCTCCTGCCCCAGCCCTAACGCCCCCCACCACACACAGCCCGAGTTCCATCCAACAGCCCAAAGCTTTCCTCCTCAGCCGCACCCCAAAGCCCACAATTCAGTCAAATTATGTTGGGTCATGGGCATCAACAATTTTCTTCAAATGGGTTGTGAGTTTGAAAACCACTGCATTAGAAAGTTGCTACAAAGCAAGATGCTATCTCTTCCTCTCACGGTCAGGCAAAGTTTTCTTCATCCCTTTTCTGATTAAAAGTTTCTTATGAGTCCCAATAGCATAAGGAAATTTTCTTTTCCCTCTCCTTCTGGTGGCAGCGTATGTGATCTATGACAGTGGAGAATTGCCAGGAAGATGTCAAGAGCAGGTGCTGTAGAAGAGAAACCCAGAGAAGTCTCAGGCTAGGTCAGGAAGAGGCTTTCCCACCATTTGGCCTAGTCTAGATGGGGCCAAATGGTGGAAAAGCCTCCTCTTTTGTTGGAGCCCTTATCCTTCATAGAAGAGAGATACAGGATTCCCCTAAAGAGTACATTTGCTCTTCCACAAAAAAAGCGGAAGAGCAAACACATTCTTTGGATGTGGCGGAGTTTTTCCTGGATACCTCTGGTATCCTGGAAAACCCCTGGGCTGTGTCTACACTGCACCCCTTTTCCAGAAAAGGGATGCAGATTAGACACTTCAGAATTACAAATCCGCGGGGGATTTAAATATCCCACGCAGCATTTGCATTTACATGGCTGCCGCTTTTTTCTGGCTTGGGGATAAGCCGGAGAAAAGAGCCAGTCTAGACGCGATTCTCCGGAAAATAAGCCCTTTTCTGGAGGATTTCTTATTCCCACTTGCAATTCCGAAGTGTCTAATCTGCATCCCTTTTCCGGAAAAGGGGTGCAGTGTAGACACAGCCCTGCAGTATAGACCTACCCTCAGTCTTTTCAGGAAAGGAATGGCCAAAAAAGGGAGATTGAGAAAGATATAACTTTTTTCAGCTGTTCATCAGGTTGAAATATGCAGCTAAAGGCAGCTTAGGACTGAAGTGGAAAAGGACAAGCCTATAGTCTGAGGACCAAAAAAGGAATAATGGTCTAGGATTTCAGCCCAACAGCAGAGTCTGGCAGGTGAGGGAAAAATTACAGCCAGCTCCATGGGGGTAGCAGGGAAGAGGATGACAAGTAGTAATTTGTGATCCACCCATGTTTAGAACAATTCTATAAGCTTTGCCCCCTCCCTCCAAGCTAAAATGCAAGGGAACTTGTACATTGCATGGCTATTTTGGGATACCTATTTTGAATTTTTTTTAAATAATGGGTGTGCTATTTCAGCATCTTGGTGACCCTTGTTCCATGAGGGTTAAGGGATGTCTTGAAATAGCATGTTATTTCAAAATTTGGTGTTGTGTAGACATGCCAAATTTCAAAATAACTATTTTGAAATAGATTTGAAATAAGATTCGCAATTTGCGTAGTGCAAATTGCATATCTTATTTTGAGTGTAGGGTGCTGTGTAGACACATCCCAAGAGTTAACCTTAGCTGGGAAATGTGCTGACCAATATCCAGATAGCTAGAATTCAAGGGAGAGTGGCACAAAGCCAACCCCACCACAGAACCACCCCAGGAAGAAGAATTTGCTAAATCCAGACCTGTGGCAGAAACAAACGCTAGCTGGGGCCCCCCAAAAAGAAATGTTTTTATTGAAACAATGGTTATATCTGTCTGGTGCCAGGGAGATTAGGGCCTACTGGTAACCAGCAGTAGGATGAGGTGGCAGTGACGCCACCAACAACAGGACCAAATGGTCCAATCTATAACCTGACCATTTCACTCCCAAAAGGCGAATCAATGAAACATTCTTTCCTGCTGGAGGTAGACAGGAAAAAGCCCAGGGATGGAGAGACATTAGGGTTTAATTAACTCTGGCTTGTCCATAAATGATGGGTCCCTAAGAATCATCCCTGATAGACTCTTGACTTCTCAGGGAATACTGGGACCCACTTTCCCAAATCACAGTGGCTCAAATCTCTTTGAAATGAGGTGATAATTAGGCTGTGGCACCAGTTCAGATATTCTTGGGGAGGCAAATTCTGGTTTGTGGCCACACCCCAGACAGGGACTCCTTCCTGTCCCCATTTGACCCCCCCAACCCAAGTCTCCTTCAGCTGGGGAGCCACTAATATTTCTTACCAGCTCAGTGCATGAGCCAAAGCCCCCAGAAATGGAGGTTTGGCAGATTCCTTTCCACTTTGCCATACAGGAACAGACTAGACTCCTCATGTGCAGGTTGCAACCCCATTTGGCCTGAACCTCTCCATCTCGCTGGAGGGGAGGTCAGCCAATTTGAATTGAGTTGCAAACCCATGCACCTGGTGCCACATCCTGCCATTTGACCCAGCCACTGCTCCATCTTTATGGAGGGGAATTGGTTCACAGCCTCACCAACTGGTGCCACTGCTATCCAGGTCCTAAGGATGTTTGAGTGCACTTCCAATGACTTGTCTGGTGAATTACTTAGAATCGTGGCCCCAGGCCACTTGTGTGATTATTAGAGACAAAAGCAAAAAACAGCAGCCAATGATTCTGATTCTGGGCAGCAAAGCTACCGCTCTGCTGTTAGCTGAGCACGTGTTCTTGGGCCGACTGGAGTCCTGCTGATGTTAATATAAAATGATGAAAAAGGGAGAGACACTCCCCATAGTGTGCCTGAGCTTTCTGGAGAGAAACTATGCTGCCATTGAGACAAAGTTTAGCCATGGCATGGACCCTTTGACATTTAACTGTATATATTGACCATTTTACCTGGCTGCATGAATTAAAAGGGACTAATGCCAAGTTTCTGAGATGGAGCCTCATATGCCAAAATTATGGTACAGAAATAATTCATGTCACACTAAAATCAAACTTGGTTGCTGATACTCTGTGCAGGAATAAGTCAGTGGTTTCCCGTAGGATGCCAAACAGTCAACATTACTAATATTGGCTTTGTTATGGGCAAGGAAAAGTCCTTCTGTCCAAGGAGTGGGGAGGCCCAGCATTTGCAGAACAGTTGGAAAGACTTGTGTTTTGTGGGACCCTGTGACTGGGCGATCCAACCTCGCACTAACCAAGGGGGGAGCAAACTGGCCTGCTGGGCTGGGAAGGCCCCGCCCCGCAGCAGTGCTGGGCATGCTCCAACTGTGGGCTAGGTATAAAGGCCAGGGAGACAGCTCAGTCGGGGCAGACCTCCAGAGGTGAAGGAGGTCCTGACCAAGCATAGGAGCAGCTGCAACCGCCACCAGAGCCACAGGCCCAGCCAACGCTGCAGCTACAGACACCATACCAGTCGCTGCCACCCCGGCACCCACGGCTTGCAGACACCTTAACTGCTGTCACCGCACCAACTGCCGCCATGCCAACTGCCAACCCCAAACCTGACACCACCGTTGCAGCAAGACGCCGCTGCCACAGCCAGACCTGCATATACAGGTGAAACCTACGCCGGTCAGGGAGATGGGATAGGAAGCAGCCCAGGGCGGGGAGCAGGAACATGCCCAGCAGGCTTGGCACGTTTCAGGGAGAACTCCCCACCGAGCCAGTGGTGGGAACCAACCACCCACCACTGATAGGGCCCTGGGCTGGGGCCCGGCGGAGAGGGAGGGCCCAGGTCCCTCTACCCCCTCTTCCCAGATTCCGGACCAGGAGGAGATCCTGAAAGACTGGGCCTGTGTGCGAGAGACTCGGCCTCTGGGCCTGACTGCGCAGGACTACACACCCCACCACAGGCTCCATAAGGCAGATGTGTGGCCTCTGGTAAGCTTTTACTGTGGGGATAGGAACATTTGCTGTGGTTTTTTTTTTATATATATATATTTCTCTGTAATGCTTTTACCCTAAGCAAATTGTATTTGCTTTGTGAAGGCTGGTTGATAACAGCTGTATCCTTGGCCCTTGTTCAGACCTGCTGGGGAAATGAAGTGTAGATGCACTGCAACACTTACTGCCTGAGAGAGGTGATGGCTGGAAGTCTAAACTAGTTAAGTGGGTGCCCTTGAGAGAGACCAACAGTGGGAGTCAAAGGCACAGAACTTGGAAACAGTGACATTCTCCTTCTTTATTTCAGACCCTAGACTAGAAAGTGCTTCCCTCTCAATCTTTCTGTCATTTTGATTGCGCAGTTGCTCCTTTATGCTCATTCTGTACTTTGAGCACCTGTCTCTCATGTATACCTGCCATCTCCAACCACTATCTCTGAAGATACACTCACACTACCCCTTGCCTTCCCCACATACACAGTCCTTGTAGATTGCCCCACCCTTACCATAACACAATCCCCACAGGCATTCTGCATCCTCTTCATATTCACCCCACACCTCTACCTCTACACACTATCTGTTGCCCTTTCCTATTTGCATCTGTGTTCTTTCCCTCACACCACCAGGTTACAGTTCTTGCCTAGAAGAGGAAACACCTTTGTTCAAAGTTTCACAGTCACACATACATTTCATCATTTTACCACATTGCTGAGCAAGTACTACCAGTCTGCTTCATCTCATAGCATCAACTGACAAGCAGAAAGCCAAATAGTGCAGCTTGTAATTAGTTTGCAATAGTCCCAATTAAGTCCCCATTCTGTCCCTGCTTAAAGCATCACTCCTGTTGGAGGTTTGGGTTGCAAAATTTTGCCCATTCTTCCCTTCCTTCTCTGAAGCTAGTGATCAGGAAGCATGAACCTAAATCTTTAAATACTCACTACATTTTGATCTTTCCATTTTTGCAAGGCAAACTTGAGCTGATTTTTTCAAGGGTGGTGAGCGCCTATCACTCCCACTGAACCATCACCTCTGATGTCAGGCCTAAGTTATCTGAAGTTAGTCACTCAAGTATTGTTACCAAAGCTGTCACTTTTGGGTTATCTGGACACACTTAAGGAATGGGGAGAGGGGCTTAGAGTCAGCCAACCCTGTTCTATGACATGACTCCTTTAAAGAACAGGTGAACCCAGGCAGACAGACTAGTGCTGGTGGGACACAAGATAGTGCTAGCAGGGCTCAAATTAGAATGCTAACGATAACAGTGTGGATGTTCTAGCCCAGGTTTAGGGAGCTGGGTGGGCTTGAGACCCTGAGCTTCTGTTCCAGTTTGAATGTCTACATTGTTATTTGAGGTACTTTAGCTTGAGTCTCTCTGCCATGAGTCGGTCTATGTAGGCTGGGAAGTTCACATGCCCTGAGTGTCTCTTGCAGATAGCCCCAGTGTAGGACAGATGCTGGATTTCTAATCCTGGTGGCAGAACTTTATGAGAGGATTTTATGAGTCACAGCCAAATTACCTTCTGCACACCACTGGTTTAAGAACTCACATTTGTGCTGGAATTGATGGAAGAACGGGGAATTAAATTTGCAAGATGGCCAAGCAGTTTCCATTTTGCATGGTTTCAGATAGTCTCTTTTTTTTCTGTGAAAGCTGTTTCTGAAGTGTTCAGTCTTCAAAAAATAGCATATTCAGTAAGAAAATGCATCTTATGGGAAATGAGAAATCTTTAATTTTGATAATGTTAGCTATGAAATGGTGGTTAAAACTCACAGCATGCCAACAATCTTTGACAAAAAGCTTTGTTTTCAAGAAGAGGATATTTCTGATGAAGAAAATTCCTTGTGAAATAAAATATCAAGCAGTGCTCATTTGTATTACTCACTTTCTTGGTTTAAAGTTCCTTTCTTATTTATTTGTGCTCTTTAGTCTTATAGTTTACCCACCAGGGAAATTTTCAAGCTCTTGCAGCTGTATTTTATTTTAGCTAGCAAGAAATTGTTTTGGACTTATAATTCATCCTTGCAAAGTTTCCAAATTATAGCTTTGCCTCTTCACTGTGTAAAAATCAAGGTTTTCTCAGAATTACAACAAAAATCAGCACAAAGGAGGTGGTAAAAGCAGTTCCTCAGCAGCTCACACAGAAAGTCCCTTTGTAGCAGCAATTATCAGCATGTAGTTTGATATTTGAATTCAGTAGCTTCAGCAAGCTGGAGACCGCCAACCTCAACAACACTTGTCCTTAGCTCAGAGGCAATTGCAATACCAAATACATTTCCATTTTCTAGAAATAATATTCCTTTAATCCTTTCCAAAGAACTCCAGTAAAGTTGATGCATAGGCACACTTGACATGCTCAGATATGGTGGTCCGGTCAATTTTTCTGACATAGATTGTTTTGAACAATTAGAAATAATAGCCAATAATTATTGGATTTTTTTGTTCAAAAGTATTCTGTTTTAATACAAGATAACATCTAGATGATGGTCAGGCAGAAAATAATGAACTCAACCATTGCCTCTGCTGTCTAAAACAGTGGTTTCCAACCTTTTTTATACTGGGGACTGTAGCAAACCCATTCACAAATTTTTGGTGGACCGGTAACTTCTTATTTGCATATTTACATATTCAAAAGCCTCATCCCTCAGAGCTCCTCCCCCCCCCCATGCCAGCCCTAGCCCCTAGGACTACCCATCCATCCACTAGCGCTAGCCACTCACCCCAGAATCCCTTGCACTCAACTCGTGCGGTGCCAGCCTCCTGCCCTCCGAGCCCCCCAGTGCAAGCCCCCATCCCAAACACCTCAGTGCTAGCCCCTGTCCCTTAGAGCCCTCCCACCACACCCCTCACTGCCAGCCTCCTGTTTCCAGACCCCCACTGCACCCAATCCTCCCAGAGCCCTCCCCAGGGCCTGCCCCCCGTTCCAAAATATTAGCCCCATACCCAGAGCCCCACAGTGCCAGCCTGTCCCCATTTTCCCCCACCCCCACTACTAGCCCAGCCCCCAAGAACCAGCTCCCAACCCCAGATTCCCCAGTGCCTCCCCAGTGTCAGCTCCCCGCCTCGTAGAGCCCCCTACCCCTAGCATCCCCCAACACTAGCCCCGCTCCTAGAGCCCCCAGTGCCTGCTATGCCCCCCTCATTTGGCCCTGTGCTGCCTCCCAGCTGCCAGTTGAGCACTGCTGCCCAGGTTGCAGCTGCTCTAAGGCTGCCATGCCGGCTTCACATGGTCCTCCTGCCACACAGCAAAGTGCTCTTCTGTGTCCAGGAGGAGGCCCCGCCCCTGCCCAGTGCTGGCTGGCTGCGAGGCGGGGCAGGACACACCTTTCCCAGCAGCTGTGGTGGGAGCAGTGTTCCACAGTCCCGGCCCCCAGAGCTTCCGTGGCCTGGTAGTCAGAGGGCTGCGGCCTAGTTGCAGGCCACAGCCTGGCGGTTGCAAACCGCTGCTCTCGGGCAACGTTGCACAAACTATGGCTTTTGAGTCACATGGCCTACCCAGCCATCTCTTGTGGAATTAACAATGCTGATCTATCAGTATTGTATTCTTCACTGTGGTACTTTATGTGACTTGTTACTTTTGCTCTAGACACCTCGCTCTCTGTGTGAAGCAATGCCGAGCACATCTACACTGTGCTGTACCTGAGTCCTGGCTCACAGCCATGTGTAAGTCAAGTCTCTCTTGGAGCATCTCCACCATAGAGCTGGACACAATCATTTATTTATTTGTTTATTTAAAATATTTTTATCTCACCTCTCTATTTAAAATATTCAAGGCGGATTATAATTTTTTTAAGCACAATACATAAATATATATATATATATAAAAGTAAAATGCAGGATCCCAAGGGGGGGGCATAAAACCTGCTAAAACACCTCAAGAGGAGGGACACACACACACCTAAATACCAGTAAAAGCACAGGTAAAAAAAGGTGGCGTTGGCCTAGTGCTGACACTGGCCTAGTGCTGAGGAGTAACGGTAGTTCGGACTAGGAAGCCTAGTCCGAACTATCTAGTCCGTGCCGCGTGTAGCACGGACATTTAAGAATGGCGGCGCCCGGCTTTATGCAAATGAAGCCCGGGAAATTCAAATCCCAGGCTTCATTTGCAACTCCGGTTGCCTACATTACCACCCTAGTTTGAACTAGGGTGGTAGTGTAGACATACCCTGTCTGTTCAGGGGGTGGGGTGAGGGAGAGCAGACTACGGCCGGCCCACCACATTTTGGCACCTGAGGCGGGGAACTCAAATGACGCCCCCATGTCCTCTCGCTGCACTAGCAGCAGACACAATTTTCTACACTCTGGGTCCTAGTGGCGCTCCAGCACAGTCTGATACCTGAGGTGGCCACCTCAGTTCGCCTCATGGTAAGGCCAGCCTTGGGGCAGACAAGCCTTATCCAGCACTGTTGGTTGAGCAGTTCCTGCTTGTGCCTGAACCAGTAGCAGGACACAGAAAGGAGTTAAGTCATGGCAGATTGAAAAGCAGGTGTAGAATAGCTGTAGATGGGATTCTCAAGAAACTGTTTTCACTGAAGTTAGTGAGAGCTCTATCCCTTACTTACATGCAATAACATTAGGCCCGTGATGAGCACTATGTTCCCTTAGGATATGTCTACACTGCAACGTTTTTCCAGAATAACGTCCGTTATTCCGGAAAGACAATACTAGTGTCCACACTGCAATTGTGTTATTTTGACAGAAAGTCAAAATAATGGACAGCTTTTTCCGTCAGTGGTAAACTTCATTTTTATGAGGAATAAGCCTTTTTCCAAAAAAGCTTTTTCAGTAAAAGGTATGTATGGACATGGAAGAGGAAGTTATTCTGAGAAAAAGAAAAAAAAGGCCTCCAAGAAATAAACTAGGTGCCCTACTGGCCACTCTATCCGCACTCATCACAATTCTATAGTTCCTGTCTCCTGGCAGCTCTTAATGCTGCAGGACCAGAGACAGGGCTTATGGCAGGAAGCAGGCCCAGAATGCTTCCAAACACCACGCAGCTG